CACACACACACACACACACACACACACACACACACACACACACACACACACACACACACACACACACACACACACACACACACACACACGCACGCCATTTAAAACACGCCTAATTTGGTCAAAACAGCTCTTATCACAAAGACATTATTGCGATTTAAGTGTGCTTTCATCTCAATTTCAATTAAAAACATTTCCCAAACAACCCAAATAATTACATCCAAATGAAAAGTAATCATAATAAAAATGAAGAATAAAAAGAGGCCAGACAAACTCTTGTTATCTACACAACGGTCCTACATTCTCAACACACTGACAATACGCAAGCACGTGGTGATGTATTGGCTTCACAGTCATTGTCTCGCTGAAGTGGAAGGTTTTTTTGGAGAGTTCCTAAGCTGAAAAAGTCATTTCACGGCCCCCCAAATAGTGTTTCGTCAGAGACCGCCGATTTGAGAAGATCCGCTCTCTTCTTCAACATGTGAATATGAAGTGGACAGTGTGAGCTTCCAGAATCCATTCCCAAATCATTCATGAGGAACCCATACAGGGTGGTTTGCGCTCCACACTTGCCGGTGAATGGTCTTCAAGAGTTTACTTTTAGAATGACTACTGAATTCTGTACAATTACTGGAAAGTGCTCAGGGCAGCAAGATCTGACACCAGTTCATTGCGTCAGACTTCAACGTTCATTTTCCAAAGTTTTGTTATGAGCGAAAAGTCACTGCCCCCGTTGCTATCCGGGGTCTTCCAAGCCACGTCCTCTGCTTTGCACCTTTCCGTCTTGTTAATTCTCACTCACTACTTGAATGAGTTGCAGCCAAAGATCATTAGGGCTCTTCTGTGGGCCCTTAAGGGGGCTCCAGTGGAGTAGTATTGCTCCAAAGTGCCCTTGGCAGACTGGAGTGTATGTCTTGTGAGCAAACCTATTGCCAGCTGATGAATTCTTCTGCACCAGAGGACAAAAAGGGTGCGCTGCGTGTGTGTGTGTGTGTGTGCGTGTGTGTGTGTGTTGGGGTTTCGTGTCGTCCATTCACAGCCGAGGAGTGTGAATGACAAATGGACGGCGAAAGTTACGGCATAGCTCTCCTCAGAAGATGTTCAGATGGAAGTTGCTGGGGTCCTGCGCTGAGTCAAAGGTCGCAGGGTTCGAACGCTGAGGCGCATCGGCACTCCGTGAAAAGGGCAGCCGACGGACAGACAGACGGAGGGAATGTTTGGGACAGGATGGAGGGCCAAAAGGATGAGAGGCACGCAAAGCTAGCTCTACAGATTAATTGAGGGTGATGTAGGCTGAGGCCTTCTCCTTCAGTTGTCTCAAACACAGATGACAGCTCCAGCTTCCTGAAACACACACATATACACACGCGCACAAATCAGTGAGTTCAATCACTGCTATTGTAAAGCCTTTTGGATTAATCCTTCATCTCAGAGTGTTAAGTAATGCTGTAAATGAAAGCTTGATGTCAGAGCATCGCATTTGGGCCTGCGTTTAGCGGATGGAAGGGATTTGACAAGTAGGTTAGTATGGGTTTGGGGTTTGTGACATTCATTAAGATTCAAAAGTGCTGCGTGCGTAAAATCACTTTGGTGTGTTGACAGTTCATGAATGACTGCTGATCCTTAGATAATTGTGTGAAATTAAAAAAAAAAAAAAAAAAAATAGAAAATGGGTGGTCAGACCATGGCAGACAAATCAAAATCCTCAGAGGAGGGCACCCACAAAAATTCAGTAGAATGTTTAAGGATGAACATAAAATAAAGTTATGATCCACCCCTGAGAACTCTGCCTGGAAAGTAGCGGTAGGCAACATGAACTATTTCAATATCCATCCATTTTCTGAACCGCTTTATCCTCACTAGGGGCACGGGGCGTGCTGGAGCCTATCCCAGCCATCTTCGGGCAGTCGGCGGGGGACACTCTGAACCGGTTGCCAGCCAATCGCAGGGCACACATAGACGAACCATCCACGCACACACTCACACCTAGGGACAATTGCAAGTGTTCCATTAACCTGCCATGCATGTTTTTGGAATATGGGAGGAAACCGGAGTACCCGGAGAAAACCCACGCAGGTCCGGGGAGAACATGCAAACTCCACACAGGAAGGTCACAGCCAGGATTGAACCCACGACCTCTGCACTGTGAGGTCGACGCGCTAACCACTGGATCACTGGGCCACCCACGCAACATGAACTGTCCCCAAAAAAATCGAAACAATTCTGTTGAGCTACTTTGCTGTGTCTGCTAGACAGCTCACACTTTCTTACAGGTGTAAAATTTTATAATTTTGTTGATGATTCATCGATGTGTCACTTGAAAATGGAATTTGAAAAAAATAACAAAACATCCTATGCCTTGAAGACTTTTGCAAGCTAGGTTTGGTAAGCAAAGGTTATGACATACCTTCTGGAGGTTCAGACATAGGTGGGCTCAGACAGTACATGTGGTAGCCTCTGTCACAATCATCACAAAACAACAGCTGATCCTGGAACAGAAGAATGAATGCTCACTTCAACTGATAACATAGAGGCCTTGATTTTTGTAGACAGCGCACCTGCGCCGTGGCGCAAATGCCGGCAGATCCTGATTTTCTTATCAGCGCAAGGCTCGCGGAGCGTGTTTGCCAATGTGGTTGGCAAACCGGTCTCCGCCAAGCTGGGCGGTCCGGCGCAGCAGGAGTGTCTTGGAGATGCACCTGGCGGAGTGACAATTTGGTGGCAGAAAGTCGATCTAAACCTCACCACTGCTTAGACCACATCAAACAACGGCACAGCGTAGCCAGCCGGTCTACTGCATTCATAAATTTGTGATCAGCGGGCATCATGGATTACATTTTTTTAAATCATCAAGCTTACGCCATGTCGAGACTCAGGGAATGAAAAAAAAACTGACATTATTTGCTGTGCGAGAAGTCAGCTGTGACCACTCCCACAACGGCGCAACCCTTGCTCTCGTTGAGCCGCCGGCTTGCTCTCGCCTGCTAAATCAGATTATCGGTCTAACACACTGCCCCGAATAGAGAGTTCAATTTCCTTGAATGGAAACATATATGATTGCGGTGGTCGTAATGTACCTCGATTCTGGGATGACATGAATACATGAAAAAGTTGTTATACATTTATTCTACTCATCGGAATATATATTTTTAACCAAAAATTAAATATAATCATTAAAATTATACACAGCTCAGACTGTCACGGCCTTTCTACTGATAAATTAATGGCAGCACTATCAGTCATGAAAATCCAGTGTGTGTGTGTGTGTGTGTGTGTGTGTGTGTGCATGTGTGTGGGTGTGTGTGTGTAATGTGTGTTTGCAGCCACGTGTTCAGGAGGAACATGAACCGTACACTGAAATGGTCAGTCGTAATGGGAGGAGGCACATTGCGGTACAAATTACTGTACGTAACCGCGCATAAAGCTTTTCATTCAGAAATCATCAAATAATGTGTCCAGCAAGGCCACACAAGAGCAGGTGTTGCTGTTTGCACATGTGTACAAAGCAGGTGCAGTGGCATTCCCGTTGCTAGGCAAATCTTCAGTTCTAAACCAATTACAGTACTGCAGAGTGCTCGCATTTTTTTTTTTTTTTTGCTACATTTTCCAAAAATTTCCAATGGAGAGAAATCTTACGTCATTCTCAGAGGTGCCGCACAGGCTGCAGGACTTGCACTCGATGCACTGCCAGCGATAAGTCCTCACTGCAGCTGTCATGTTCACTGTGAACTGCAGACAGGACGGGTGGCCTGGGTGCACGACACGCACACACACACGCACACACGCACACACGCACATACGCCGGCACGCACATGCCCACACAATTTTCACCACTACTCTCTGTACTTCCAGCTATGCCAGCCATCTATGCATTAATAGGATTACACCTGGAAAGGAAAGGAGCGCTCAACAGTGTTGACATGAACATCCTATTTCATTAAATAATGGAAATTATTTTCTGATGTGGTCTGTTTTGCATTGTTTGAAACGGATAAGTGCGGACATGGCTTTATTTGGTTTTCCCCAATAATGACTTCATGATGTCGGTCATTTATTTGTAGCCTATGCTTTCACTGGATGTCATTTGTTGCAAAGTTCATGCCACCTTAAAATCTCCTCAGGGTTGTTTTTACACTGCGGTGAAGAACATATGAGGGCCATATGTCTGTGGAGCATTTTTAAGAAATCCAGCCTTAGAGTCACTGCTTTGCATTTTTTTTTTTGCTGTACATGATTGTTTGAAGATGGGCTAAACAAAACAAACAAACAAAGAATGGTATGGTCCATTCTTTTTAAAAAAAATTGAGAGTCTGTAATGAAGACGACATTAAATGACCTTTCTGATCAGCAAAGAGAATATTTCACCGCGCATCAATAGAACACGGCCTTGGTCCTTCCAAACATCCCCTTCATCTTTGCCCTACCTGAGCGTCCACAGTCCGCACAGGAAATAAGGTCCTCGGGGCAGCCAGTCTTCTTTGAGCCTCCAAGGCAAAAGTCGCAGTATCCATTGGCGATGACCGAGCCGTCCGCCGCTTTCTTGGCTGTCAGAGGGACAAAGAAGAAATGGCGGATTAGGAAGCAGGTTGCTGCACGCTGGAAGAAGGGCCTTGTATAGTGTCAACGCAAAATGTAAGCGAGTTTGCGGCGTCAGCTTCTTGACTGTGCAACAGATTGGCCAAGAGACCTTAAAAGTCTCTTGTAGTCTTCTGACAACAAAAAGTCAAAGTTAAAACAGACTAGGGAGACATGAAATACACTCGGCAGGAGATGTTTCTTTAACTATTCCATCTGCTTGCTTTGGCAAGGACCACGCCTGGTATACAGATGATGTGCTCAGAGGGACAGTGGCAGAGGGCCCCGTGTGTGTGTGTGTGTGTGTGTGTGTGTGTGTGTGTGTGTGTGTGTGTGTGTGTGTGAGTGAGAGAGACAGAGAGCGAGCGAGAAAGAGAGACACAGGGAGCAGGAGAGAGTTGAAGACTGCAAATGATGCTGTTTCACAGTAATTACTAAACACAAAATCCCCCCCCCAAAAAAAAAAAATACAGAAAAATCTGTGAGCGTGTGAGAGGCATTTAAACGACCTTGTCATCTAACAACTGACAAAATGATAGTTATGCGTGGGGAAAACGGAATTCATGAATCTCAGATCTCGGCAGTCATTCATGGATTTACTTATTCAGATTGTATAAAAAAGAAAAATAATATCAGAATAATTCAGTGGAAACTCTAAAGTCAAAGACCAGTTATTTCTCTTAACTCTGCAAGCTTTTTTTTAATTTTGTTTTTTTTTTTTGCTTTGGTGTTTCAGGGATTCCAAAATAAGGTCCATTCTCAACACAAGATGTTAATTTGGAGACTGAAAGTACACTAGACTTTAGACCAGGTGAAACCAGGTCTAAGTTGTGGCGCAGGTGGTGTCATGTAATTTGGATGTATTTTGACCGAGTGTCTGCCAGACACATTCTGAGCTCAAACTAGACGCTAAATGAAAGGGTAAAATCAAACCTTTGATATCTCAAATGCTGTTCTTACTAGTCCGGTACGCACCTGACACCCAGCCAGGTGCTCCCACCACCAGAGCGCACACAACCCTTGCTGTGAAAAAACTCACAAACGCCAAAACAAAGCAGTCCAACCTCCATGTCCATCGCTAATATTATGGAATCTTTGTTACGCTCTTGCTGTTGCATAACACACTTCATGGAAGCAGTCACATGACCTCTACACAGTTTTTGTTTGAGTGTGTTCTTTCCAGTAGATCCAATGCGTGGTCCTTTTTAAATTTAACATGGACTACCGAAAGGAATGCAAGGAATGCATGCAGACACACTCCCGGGAACAATAAAGAAAGCATTTGTCGCGAAGAAGAGCAAAAGATAAACCTGCAGATGAGAGTGTGTGTGTGTGTGTGTGTGTGTGCGTGTGTGTGTGTGTGTGTGTGTGTGTGTGTGTGTGTGTGTGTGTGTGTGTGTGCGCACTTGCATGTGCACATGAGCGAGAGGTCATTAATCCCTCCATTCCAGGGTGCAATTTTGTTTTGTCTGAAGGGAGAGAGGGTGATAATGTAATTGAAAAGAGGGTGAGAAGGGAAGAAGAGGGGGACATATTTGTTGTTGTACCTCACATGCAGGGTCGTGCCTTCATCCTCCGAGGAGTACAATCATTTAAACTACGTTTCTGATTTGGACCAGAATCAAAGAGAGAGAAAAAGAGCATGAGATGGTTTGGAATGACCGTATCAATGCTCTTGAAGAAGTTAACGTCGTTATACGCTACTGTATTTTACACACACTAACACTAAACAAGTGGTGGTCGTAACTATACATTAAAAAAAAAAAAAAAAGATAACAACATACTGTATGTGGTCTGATCAAAACTATATTACACATCATCACATGTTACAATATGGTTGTTACCACAATTTAATTGAGACATTTAAATCAGCACAGCTTTAGTATCCGGAAGATATTAAAATTGTTTTGCGGAGTTCTGCCGGTCACGGCTTCTTAGTCTTACCTTAAATTCATAAGACAGATAGGCGTATCACAGTTTTAATAATCTTTTTGCCAGCGATAACATTAGGAGATCGGAGGCATCAGCTTTTCATTATGGGAAATATTACCTGCATTTCATCAAACCTGCGATGGCGGCAGATACATGAGGACCCGGTTTGTGCTTGAGTTGATTAAAAATATCATCTTTCACGTCATCACTTCATTTACGATTTAGCGTAATCATCTTTAATACGACCGACAACCCATTTGCTTGCAAATGGAAACCGCGGTGATGAGAAATATTTATTTGCTCAAATTTGCTAAACAAAACTAAGGCTCGATATGTTAAGTTTTGTCATTTATAAACAAAATATGACATTTCATATTACACAATATAAAATATCGTATACAAGGACTGCACTTAATCCCCAAAGATACTAAATATTTATGCCCAGGGGGGCTTTTTGCTGTAATTTATATCACTTGGCGATATCTAATTTGGCGGGCTTCCACTGAGTTTTAATACTTAAGGTCGTAAATGTGTCAAATTTGTTGCCGCTGCTAAAAACCGCATAATGAGATGGAGACTGGGACAAGTTTTGGACTACTTTTATTTTGAGGAAAATCAACACCAGCCAGATGTTTTCTGTGCATTCTAAAGCTTTGTCGTACAAGCCTGGAGCTAAAGCAAACACAGTATCGGCTCCTTTTTATGGTCAAATATACTTTGATCTTCACTATGTTTTTTTTTTTTTTATTGTTTGTTACCACTGATTGGGTCTCAGAATCCCTGATGGGGATATGTTAGACAGGCACACCCGAACACAGACACAATCGAAACACGTTACGGCTACAAGCATGCGCAACTGTAATATATGTGCATCTATGTGTGTCGTTCCTCGCTTTTTTTTTTTTTTTATTGCAGCCTGCGAGCGTGTCTGAAGACCGCAGGGAGTGAATCAGCAGGTCTTGGTGTGTTTGAGTCAAGGCTGCCTGCTGGCCTATAGCGGGCGGAGGGGGGAAAAAAAAAAAAGTCCATCAATGATTAAATGCCTGCGGCCTTGTTTCAGAACCAGCCCTGCAACCACAGACACGCCACTGCTGGCCATACAAGGGAGGAAGACAGATGAAGAGGAGAAAAAAAAAAGGTAATGAGCAAAAACGTAAGGCAAAAAACATACCGGACATAAAACAATGTCAATTTTATCTCTTCCTCCAAAAGCTTCGTCGTGTATTCAGTGCTCCACTAGACCGTTTTTTTTTTTTTTTTTTTTTTGTCTCCTTTTCTCCCTCTTTTTCCTTTTTTTTT